TCGATAAAGAGGAAGATAGCCTGGAACAGAGAATTCATTGGTAGCGATAAAAGTATTTAAATTAGTTTCGTAAAAGGCGAAGATATCTGGAGAACGTTTCGAGGGAAAGAATTGTACGCTACAGAAATTGGAAGGGATTCCATGAATATTGAAGAAAGAAAGGATGGTGGTGTTAGATGATTTTTTTATCGGTTTAGTCGTATTTCTTTTCATTGTATCAGTCATGAGAATACATTTTGTTTGAAAGGCAAAAAATAATTATCACTATCGTCGATTGCAATACAAACTAACGAGAAGGTGGCTAAGAATAAAACATAAGCTGGTCTCAGGATTGCCCACCGGAAATACATATGTATCAGTACAAATAGTCCGTTATTATGCAGTTGTCGATCAGAACATACTCTCTAAGCGCTACCAATGAGCTCGGGGGTTCCTACTACGTCAGATGCAGCAACGTGAAAACCGCCAACTAGGTACCTTGACAAATGGAAAGTCGCAGCCTCTGATTAGTCAGATCACCAATAAGTTAAAGCAATTGAATTATTATGGTCATGGAAGAAGAAAGAATCGGTAAACCAGATTCTAAACAGGAAACAAGGGATATGTCTGTGTGTGTGTGTGTGTGTGTGTGTGTGTGTGTGTGTGTGTGTGTGTGTGTGTGTGTGTGTGTGTGTGTAAATAAGTCATTTTTATATGCTGTGTTACTTCAGGACGTGGAAGATCATGGTTCTCCATAAATTCCTCTCGTTTGTTACTCTGAGTAACTTCTGCGAGTTTACCAACCGTCTTTCCTCTTTTGTATTGTCAATTCCCACGAATTCAAAAATTGGTTAACTATCGTTTCCTCGCAGCTTATCTTGTATTTAACGTTCTGTGGGTATTGAATTTTCTAACTTCTCTTCAATCTTTCTTCATTGTTGTAATTTCAATTCCTACGAATTTAAAAATTGGTTATCTATCGTTTCCTTGCTGCTTATTTTGTATTTAATGTCCTATGGGTATTGAATTCTCTATCTTCTCTTCAATTTTTTTTCTTCATCTGTGAAGTAATTATCCAGGGATTACGTCCATATAGTAGGTTAGATATTACAGTTCAGCACACCATTATGCTTCTAATGATATTTTCCTATTTCTTAATACTTTGATTAGGTTATGGAAGATATCTTTCGCTATTTCAATGTGCCTTCACGCTTCTATCACACATTTTCTATCTTCTGCTACTATACAAACTATATACTTGAATATCCGTACCTGTTTATTATTGATGTTCAGATCTTGAACCGTTTCGTGTTAATTCCTTTCTACAATATTATTAACATTAAAAGCTAATTGTTGATACATTTTAGGTATTTAAACTTGAATTATTTTGTTTGGGTCGTTGTTTAATGTGAAAAAGGATGAATTAACCAGCAGGTAACAAGTTGGTAGCCGTTGGGAACTTTCTGCTAACATTTATAATATTTATTTTTGTATTAAAACAAAAAAATGTGGAACAAGGCTATAAGTGGGGATGGGGAAGGCTGGTCTTCATCTGTCTTATCTTAAAATCTTAGCCACAATCACTGAATTTCGATATTTCTTGCACCAAAAGACGACATTCTTTTTTACCATTCATACTACAACCATCATAATACCTCATAGTCTCTATGAAGTCCTAACTAGTCCACATATGTATAATTTGTTTGTGGAGGAGAAATAAAAACATCTAAAAATGAAAACCACAAAGAATATTTTCCACTGACGTTAATGCTAATGCTTGTGATTAGCTAAAGCAACATCTAATAATAAATTTCAAGACAAGTAAGTTCTGCTATTTAAATATTGGCACAATATAATCTTCTCAAATCCAACTTAATCTTATTTTCTGCCTTGTGACAGGCTAAGTTGGACTTATTAAATCTCTATGCATTGTTTGACTGAATTGGGTAACAGTACTGTTCACATTATTAGACGTTGTCCGTATTGGAATCTGAAATTAGCTTGTGGTTTCTAATTGCGAAAACACAGCAACAGGCACCAAGCAGAGACAAGCGACACGTCCAGATTTAGACTTCAAGCACGACACTTTGATGACACGAGCGTTAGGAAGTTGATCAGCAGATGACGAGAGAATAACGCTAATGTAATTGGTTCAGCAAGTTCATTCAAAAACGTGACGTTTAGTGACACTTTTTGCGAAGACCAAACTGGACGCATGCGCAAACGTATCTATAGTTTTGATGTTTGTTTGCTTTTATGGATGATTCACTATAACGAAGGTTTAAGAGCAATAATGCGAAGGTTTTCAACTCTCGCCCGTTTATGTAATTTATAATTAGACACAAGTCTATGGTTATAATGTATAAAATGGAAAATATACTCTCTTTCATCAACTCCAAAAATTATTTTTCCCATCTACTAATAGTAGGCACACAAAAACACGTGCATACATATATAATTTTGTCATTATATATATATATATATATATATATATATATATATATATATATATATATATATATATCTAATAGATTAGTCGAAATGGCTCGGATCTGCAGATCATTTGGACAGTTTTTGCACACTATGTGCGAACAACAAATCACTTGTTCGAAAGCAAGAAAAACTTAAAAATTTAATCGCAGTGCCATGTTAGTTGTCTTCGATGAAAATTGTATAAAGGAGGAACTGCCGGGTAAGTGCATTATCATATATACAAATATATATATATATATATATATATATGTAGAAATTTTGAAAAACAAACAAAAATCCATAAATGTAGTTAAAATGAAAGAATTGTCGACGTCAGACGTTTCGGTTTTAATAAACCATTTTCAAGACAAAATTCATTAAAATACAAATTCAGTTCAATATGACGAAAACGATGGACATAAAAACACAAGTCTTATCCAAGAGTAAAACAGATAACTGAAAATTTTTAAAAGATCAGCTTTCCGTTTAACGTGGTCACGCCGTAGTCACATGGGCGACGCTTTCATAACGTATTCCTAAAAGTTCGTGATTATTTTTTAAAATTCCTGTATTTCCGGATAAGCCTGCAATCTTCCATGTTGCTTTGTAAAAAACGAATTTAGGTTTGTGTTTTCAGTAGACAGTATATAAGCAAGTGTAAATGGATATAAATCCGACAGAATGTAGAAATTTTGAAAAACAAACAAAAATCCATAAATGTAGTTAAAATGAAAAATTGTCGACGTCAGACGTTTCGGTTTTAATAAACCATTTTCAAGACAAAATTCATTAAAATACAAATTCAGTTCAATATGACGAAAACGATGGACATAAAAACACAAGTCTTATCCAAGAGTAAAACAGATAACTGAAAATTTTAAAAAGATCAGCTTTCCGTTTAACGAATTAAATTAGTCACATGGGCGACGCTTTCATAACGTATTCGGAAAAAGTTCGTGATTTTAAATTCCTGTATTTAAAATTTTTGTAAAATACGAATTTATGGATTTTTTTTATTTTTAAAATGGACTAAATTTCATAATATATAATATTTATAACAAACAAAATCTAAATTGTTTGCTTTATAAAAACTGAAAACAAATAAATTTTTTTTACAACATGGAAGATTTTTATCCGGAAATACAGGAATTTTAAAATAATCACGAACTTTACAACAGGAATACGTTATGGAAGCGTATGTAGAACTGGTCGTGACCACGTTAAACGGAAACGCTGATCTTTTAAAAATTTTCAGTTATCTGTTTTATATCTTGGATAAGACTTGTGTTTTTATGTCCATCGTTTTCGTCATATTGAACTGAATTTGTATTTTAATGAATTTTGTCTTGAAAATGGTTTATTAAAACCGAAACGTCTGACGTCGACAATTCTTTCATTTTAACTACATTTATGGATTTTTGTTTGTTTTTCAAAATTTCTACATTCTGTCGGATTTATATCCATTTACACTTGCTTATATTATATATATATATATATATATATATATATATATATATATATATATATATGTGCGTGTGTGTCTGTACAAGTTTAAGCTTATATGTGTCATAGTTTATTTCCTACATAATTCATTTTACACACATAATTTTATATATACATACAAAAAAAAAAATGTAACCAAAGCAAACAACTGGATCAGCCCAATAACGTTTTATCATATATATATATATATATATATATATGTATGTAGGTATGTATGTATGTATGTATGTGTGTGTGTTTACATATAGCTATAACTCTCTCTCTCTCTCTATATATATATATATATATATATATGTGTGTGTTTGTGCGTGTGTGTGTGTGTGTGTATACAAAAGATTGTAAAATGTAGATTAAATAGAAAGATAACATTGTATGTACTTATGCATATATATATATATATATATATATATATATATATATATGAGAGAGAGAGATGTTTATACATCCGTTTCTCATACGCATGTTGAGATAGAAAATACAGTTTGTTTTTTCAAAGAAAGTGCCTCTCGTGTTGATCCACACGACTACATTAAAAAGTTCTTTGGGTCGTATATGAAAACATGATGTTACGATTAAAAAAAAACATTTTTTTCTCGAATACTTTCAACATTTTAAAAGTAAGATGCGTTTTTTGTCATCTAACATTAGAAACTTCATTCTATTCGCAAGAGATCAATATTAGAAGATGATAAAATAACTAAGCTTTCCATGTATTTCTTATAACTGTTAACCATAGATAGATAGATAGAAACTGGCAGATAACTATATATGAATAAATAGATAGTTATGAGGAGACGGATAGATATAGATGGTGTTGTAACCTAGAAAGTGTTACTGAATGAGGAATAAACAAAACGGAGGTTGGAAATGAAATAGAAATATTTTTAATATCAACAAAATACAATACTCGCCAGCGGCGTGAAGTAGGTAAACCACTGCTATTGGTGGACTACTAAGACAGAATATTACCCTCACTTACAATAGTGTTCAACGAATTTATGAGGATTGAGACATATACATTAGTGTTCATAGGTACGGTATATAAC